CTTCTCACCTCAAAAACAAATGCCAAATTGGTTTGCTAATGAAATGGGGGACAGAGGAGGCACCGAGGGGTGCCGGAGCACCTCGACATTTATGCCAGACACTAACCAGCCCGTCCTCCCGTGGGCCCCACAGGCAGACAGGCCTGGGGATGGGCAGCACCATGGCCCGCGTGGGCAGCATCGCCAGCCCCCTGGTGAGCATGACCGCGGAGCTCTTCCCCTCCATGCCTCTCTTCATCTACGGCACTGTCCCCGTGGTCGCCAGCGCTGTCGCCGCCCTCCTGCCGGAGACGCTGGGCCATCCCCTGCCGGACACGGTGCAAGACCTGGAGAACAGGTGGGCTCCCACCCAGAGGGGCACAGGGACCTACCCCAGGTCCCACACGCAGGCCGGGGTGGCGCTGAGGCTCAAACCCAGGCCTCCTTTTCCAGGCCTCGGCTCTTCGTCCCTGTCTCCCCAGTGGGCTGTCTCCTGGGGTCCTTTCTGGGTCTCCAGGGAGGGGGAGGTGTTTGAGGCAGAGAGCCGGTAGCTGGGCACAGCTAAGCGGAGAGCCCCAGCCCTGGCTGCAGGCTGCATACCGAGGGCACCGCTCTCCTGCCCCCCAGGAGGAGAGGGAAACCGCAGCGACAGCAGCAAGAGCAGCAGAAGCAGATGGTCCCGCTCCAGGCCTCGGCCCAAGAGAAGAATGGAATCTGAGCACGGAGAACGGGCCCTACAGAGCCCCACAGGGAGCGCCGGGCCTGCAGGGCCTGGGCCACCTGCACGAGGAGGGAGCAGGGGCGGTGGCTCAGGGTGGCACCTCCCAGGGGCCGCCCTGAACAGATTCCACCGAGACCACATCATTAAAAGGGTTCTGTGGGCAGCGTCTCCCTTGGCCTGTCTCATCTCAAAGGCAACAGCCACTCCCCATCAGCCAGCTTCCAGCCCGAAGGTAACACCGTCCATCACCCTGGCCTGCTCGGTCGGTTAGAGCACATCCCCTTACACCAAGGTCGTGGGTTCGATTCCCAGTCAGGGCACATCCAAGAATCGGCCAGGGAATGCATCAATAAGTGGAACAACAAA